TTGAGAGAGAGCAATGCAGTGGTACCATGAACTCACCGCCTGCTAGCTTAAGAGATATTTTGGCAGCATTGCCATGAACCCACTGCCAGCTGCCATCTAAGATACAGCAATAGTAGTGCTATGAACCCACTGAATGCTTGCCTCTGAGATACAGAAGCAGAGGTCCTATGAACCCACGACATGGTGGTCTAAGAGATACTCTGGCAGTGGTACCATGGCCTGCTAGCCCATGAGAGACAGCAACAGTGGTGCTATGAATGCACTACCTCTGACCTCTGAGATACAACGCAATGATTAAATTAATCCACCACCTGCTGGCTTAAGAGATAGAGAGGCAGTGGTGCCATGAACCCCCTGTCTGCTGGACTGCCAGAGACAGCAACAGTGCCACCATGAACCTAATGCCTGCTGGCCTAAGAGCTATAGAGACAGTGGTATCACGAACCCACCGGCTGCTCGCCTCTGATATACAATGGCAGTGGTGCCATGAACCCCCTGCGTGCTGGCTTAGGAGATACTCTGGCAGGGGTACCATGAACCCACGGCCTGCTAGCCTGTGTGAGACAGCGGCAGTGGTGATATGAACACACCACCGACTGGCCTCTGATAAATAGCGACAGTAGAGATATGAACCCACCGCCTACTGGCCTAAGATATACTTTGGCAGTGGAATCATAAACTCACCGGCTGCTGGACTGTGAAAGACAGCAATGCAGTGGTGCCATAAACCCAATGCCTACTGCCTTAAAATACTTTGGCAGTGGTACCATGAACCCACCGCCTCCTGGCCTAAGAGATACTTTGGCAGTGGAACCAAGAACCCAGTGGCTGCTGGACTGAGAGAGACAGCAACGCACTGGTGCTATGAACCCACCACATGCGGTCCTCCGAGATACAGCAGCAGTGGTTCCATAAAGCCATCTCCTGCTGGCCTCTGACATAAAGCTGCAGTGGTGCCATGAAGCCACCGCCTTCTGTCTTCTCAGATAGAGCCGCAGCGGTGCAATGAACACATCACATGCTGGACTGTGAGAGACAGCAACGCAGTGGTGCCATAAATCCAATGCCTATTGCCTTAAAATATTTTGGCAATGGTACCATGAAACCAACGCCTCCTGGTGTAAGAGATATTTTGGCAGAGTTGCCATGATGCTGGCCTCTGAGATATAATGGCATTGGTGCCATGAACCCACTGCCTTCCCAACTGTGAGAGATAGTGGCAGTGGTACCATGAACCCAATGCCTGCTGGCCTAAGAGATACAGCAATGGTGGTGTCATGAGCCCACCGCCAGCTAGCCTCTGAGATCCAGCAGCAGAGGTGCTATGAACCTACCATAGGCTGGCCTAAGAGATACTTTGGGAGTGATACCGTGGACCCATTGCTCACTGTCCTCTGAGATACAGTGGAAGTGGTGCCAGGAACCCACCGCATACTGGCCTCTGAGATACAACGTAACGATGCCATGAATCCACTACCTGCTGGCCTAAGAGACAGAGAGGCAGTGGTACCATAAACCCACTGGCTGCTGGCCTCTGAGAGACAGTTGCAGTGGTGCCATGAACCCATTGCCTGCTGGCCTAATATTTATATTGGTAGCGTTCCCATGAACCCACTAGCTGCTGGCCTCTGAGATACAGCAGTAGTAGTGCTATGCGACCACCAAGTGCTTGCTTCTGAGATACAGCATCATAGGTGTTATGAACTCAGCACATGGAGGCCTAAGAGATACTTTGGGAGTGATAGCATGGACCGATTGCTTGTTGTCCTCTGAGATACAGCGGCAGTGGTACCACGTATCCACGGCATGCTAGCCTATGAGAGACAGCAGCCGTGGTGCCATGAGCGTAATGGCTGTTGGCCTCTGAGATACAACGAAATGGTGCCATGAATCCACCGCCTGCTGGCCTTTGAGATACGGTGGCAGTGGCACCATGATTCTACCGCATGCTGGCCTAAGAGATACTTTGGCAGTACTGCCCTGAACCCACCGCTGCTGGCCTGTGATATACTGAGGTAGTGGTGCCATAACCCATCGCCTGTGGGCCTAAGAGGTACTATGGAAGTGATGCCAGGAACCCACAACCTTGGCCTAAGATAATTTGGCAGTGGTTCCACGAACCCATCTTCTGCTGGCTTCCAAGATACAGCGGTAGCGGTGCCATGAACCCACCACATACTGGCCTCTGACATACAGCTGCAATGGTGGCATGAACCCAACACCTGCTGGCCTAAGATACCATGTGGTACCAGCCATGAACACACTGACTGCTGGCCTGTGAGATACTGTGGCAGTGGTACCATGAACCCACCGCCTGCTGTTCTCTGAAATACAGTGGCAGTGGTGCAATGAACCCCCCGCCTGCTGGCCTAGGAGATACTCTAGCAGTGGTACCATGAACCCACGGCCTGCTAGCCCGTGAGAGACAGGGGCAGTGGAGTCATGACCCCAACGCCTGCTGGCCTAAAATACTTTGGCAGTGGTTCCATGAACCCACCGCCTGCTGGACTGTGAGAGAGAGCGGCAATATGAACCCATCATCAGCTGGCCTCTGATAAACAGTGACAGTAGTGACATGAACACACCACCTGTTGGGCTAAGACATACTTTGGCAGTGGAACCATGAACCTACCAGCTGCTGGACTCTGAGAAACAGCAACACACTGGTGTCAAAAACCCAATGCCTGTCTTTAAATACTTTGGCAGTACTACCATGAACCTACTGCCTGCTGGCCTGTGAAATACAGCGGCAGTGCTACCATGAACCCATCACCTGCTGGCCTCTGATATAGTGCGGTAGGGGTGCCATGAACCTACCGCTTGCTGGACTGTGAGAGACAGCAGCAGTGGTGCCAGGAACCCAGGGCCTGCTGGACTGTGAGAGACAGCTGCAGTAGTGCCATGAACCCATCTCCTGCTAGCCTCTGAGATACAGTAGTAGTGGTGCCATGAACCCAATACCTGCTAGCCTGAGATACGGCAGTAGTAGTGCTATGACACCACCGACTGCTTGCCTCTGAGATACAGCAGCAGAACTGCTATGAACCCACCACATGGTGACCTAAGAGATACTTTGGGAGTGATACCATGGATCCTTTGCTTGCTGTCCTCTGAGATACAACAGCAGTGGTGCCATGAGTAAACCACATGCTGGTCTAAGAGATAGAAAGGCAGTGGTACTAAGAATCCACTGGCCACTGAGATACAGCAGCAGTGGTGCTATGAACCCACCGCTTGCTGACCTGTTAGATACAGCGGAAGTATTGCTGTGAACCCACCACATGCTGTCCTCCGAGATACAGCGGAAGTGATGCCATGAACCCAACACCTGCTGGCCCTAAATATACTTTGGTAGTGGTGTCACAAAGCCACCGCCTGCTGGCCTAGGAGATGCTCTGGCAGTGGTACTATGAACCTACAGCCTGCTAGCCTGTGAGATACAATGGCAGTGGTGCCATGAACCCATTGGCTGCTGGCCTTCAAGATACAGCAGTAGTAGAGCAATGAGCCCACCGAGTGCTAGCCTCTGAGATCCAGCAGCAGAGGTGCTATGAACCCACCACATGCTGGCCTAGGAGATACTTTGGTAGTGATACCATGAACTCATGGCCTGCTAGTCTGTGAGAGACAGCGACAGTGGTGCCATGAACTCACTGTCTTCTGGCCTCTGAGATACTTTAGCAGCCTGCCCTGAACCCATCGCCTGCTGGCCTCTGAGATACAATGACAGAGGTGCCATGAGCCCCCATCGCCTGCTGGCCTCGGAGATACTTTGGTGTGGTTCCATGTACCCACACCTGCTAGCCTGTGAGATACAGCGGCAGTGGTGGCACGAACCCATCGCCTGCTGGACTCTGAGAGATAGCAACATTGCCACAATGAACGTATCACTTGCTGGTCTAAGAGATACAGCAGCAATAGTGCCATCAACCCACCGCCTGCTGGCCTAAGTGATATTTTGGCAGCGCTGCCAGGAACCCACCCCCTGATGGATTCTGATATACAGCGGCAGTGTTATTATGAGCCTACCGCCTCGTAGCCTCTGAGATACAGCAGCAGCAGTGCTGTGAACCCATCACAGGGTGGCCTAAGAGATACTTTGGGAGTGATACCTTGGACCCACTGCTTGATGTCCTCTCAGTGGAGTCAGGAACCCCCCGCCTGCCGGACTAGGAGATACTCTGGCAATGGTAGCACGAACCCATTGCCTTTGAGATACAGCAGTAGTGGTACTATGAGCCCACCGCCTGCCATCCTCTGAGGTACAGAGGCAGTGGTGCTATGAACGCACTACCATCTGGCCTCTGAGATACAGCGCAATGATTAAATGAACCCACTTCCTGCTGGTCTAAGAAATAATTTGGCAGTGGTGCCATGAACCAACCGCATGCTGGCCGCTGAGATACAGCAGAATTGGCTCTCAGGGCCTTTTGCTGGCGGGCCACCTATGCCCATGGCTTCCAGGCTTATGATACACAAGCATTGGCAGGGGCGCTGGAACAATTTTTATAATGGGATGCTGAGAGCCACTAAACCAAACTGCAAATCCTGGATATAATGGAACCCACTTCAAGTCGGGGGTGGTGCACCCCCACATCCCTACTGCCAGCATCTATGGGCATTGGCACCCAGGCTCCATCCCTAGCTAGCCTCGCAGAAGGGAAGGGTTTGGGGAGAGGCGGGGTAGAAAGATAATGAGGGCGACTACTCCTCGCCCGCTTCCCCAGCCCTCACCGGTCGCAGCGCACGGCTCCCCCTGCCCGTGAGCCGCACCCCCGGGGCGGCTAGGGGTCACTCTAGCAGCACGTCATAGTAGGACGGTTGAAGGCGGAGCCGATACACGTGTCAACAATATCGCGCTGTCTTAGAACGTCACCTATTTAAACGTTTTTCTGGTTTGCCCTGTTCCTTGGTCACGTGGTTTCCTAAACGCTTGGGTTTGCCAGTCACGTGTGAGTCATGTGACTCCGTTCCATGCCGATGAGGTCATCAGTGGTTGCTTCTGATCACGTGATCACTGCCTACGCGCGGTGGGGACGGGTGCAGATGGCGGACGCAGAGGCCGAGGCGTCTCCGCGCCCCGATATGGAGCGGCTAGTGGTTGCGCTTCGCGCCCGTCTCTGGCAGTTGCAGGCGGAGCTGCGCGAACAGGAGGTTTCGGAGTCTTCGTCTCGGACCTACTGCCGGGGGTTCTGCCAGGTGGGAGCCGGGCCGGGCGGGAACCGCGGGGCCCGAGGGTCCCGCACGGAGCATCGCGGGCGGGGGCTGTGGTCCCGAGTACGTAGCGGCTAGAGTCCCTCGTAGAGCGGGCAGCCTTCGCCTTAGGCCGCACAGCGCTTGTATGCCTGTTGTGGTGCGGGAGCCTTCTCGTGTTGGGAGCCCGGCAGCTCAGAGGGGTTGTGTTGGGAAAGCCTGTCGCCGCCAGCGCTGCAGCGCAGAGGCGTCAATCCGGGCGAGTTAAGCGTTTAGAAATATCCTTTTCTGAGCGTTTGTTTGGTGAGTGTAACCTTGCTTCCCAGCCAGAGGTAGAGGAGAACTGTGTTATTTGGAGTTTCTTCCAATTCTAATCATGAGCTACTTTGCATTTAAAGTGTTAAATTTGTGCGCGCATTTGAGCAGTATTGTTTGTGCGTGCTGTGAGGTTGTATTTTTTGTCCTCGAATGGGTGCCCCAGAAAGCTTTCTTTTAAGAAAAAATGTTTCGCTCTTCCCTTGTCAACATTAAGGTATCAAAGTGTGGCAGTGTTTTCTTAGTTAATAGTTCTGAGGAAGTTTTAAATCTCAAATTGACAATTTAAATGTCAACATTGTTAGCTATTTTGGTGCTCATTTCAGGAGAAACATCCAGCAAATGCCCTTACCTGTAATAGCTAACTGCATGTGTGGTACAGAATTCTCCAGCTGTTTCTTTGAGTATTAATGCAGTTGCATTTGTTGGTACAGCAATTTGCATCAAATTGAAAATGCAAGAACCCAGTAAGATGTTTTTAATATCAAAGTAATTAAATGAATTTGTTTTTTTCTCTTTGTAGTCAAGTTAAATTATTTAATTTAAGAAAATTGCTACAGAATTTCTAGCCTGGCATCAGAATGCTAGAGCACCCAGGCAACTTGAAGCAGAATAAATCCATTTTGTTGTGGATTCTTGCCTTGTCATCAAGCCAGCCTTTGATCTCAGAACTTGACATGACAAATAGTTTGGAGATGGCTGTGTGGATTTTGGAAGGTTCTTAGATCAGAAGATTAAAGATACTATTTCTGTGTTCAGTATCAGTTCAAATTTTATATTACACCTGTTGTAATCGGCAATGGTTAGGGAAAGAATGAGTCAGAACAATTCTCTAACTACTTTAGAAATAACAAATACCTATTTAAACTTCTTGCTATGCATTCCAGAATAATGTTAGTATATTATAGGGGTGCAGTTACTTGATAAAATATATAGATTCAGAGATTTTTAAGGTCAGCAAGAACTATTGTTGATCTTTTTTGACTTCCTGCATAATGTGGGCCATAGAATTTCTCCTAGTAATTTTTTTTAGCAAACCCGTAACATCGTTTTGAAAGATACAGGGGAGGTTTGCACTAGTAGTTATAACAAAGTAATTCTAATCACTCAGAGGTGTGAAAAATAAATGTGCCTGAGGAACTTAGTTATACTGACTTACGCTCTGGTGTAAAAAGCAACAGAGGGTCCTGTGGCACCTTTGAGACTAACAGAAGTATTGGGAGCATAAGCTTTCGTGGGTAAGAACCTCAGATGCATCTGAAGAAGTGAGGTTCTTACCCACGAAAGCT